TATATTATATATATATTTTTTTTTTTTAAATATCATTTATACATGAGTTTGGTGTTTGCAATTAAGTTTCAGAAAGATGGTTATGTCATTTTCGAAGACTTCTTTCAACCGGAAGAGATCGAAGAATTGAGAGCTTGTGGAGAAGAATTTACAAATAAGTTGCCACCTGAGTCAGAACGAAAAGTATTTAATACAGTACAATTACAACAGGTAATACGACCAATTGTCAATTTAACTTAAAAACGTAAGCATAATATTTCGTGATTCATATCAAAGATAATGGTATATGTGAATATTTGAAGACAACTTTATCAAGGAAAATATATACAACTAAATTTTGTAAAATATAAAAACTATGTTTTTGTTAATTTTAAAACATCATCTTTTGTGAATGTTATATAATTGAAACTATAAATGATATTATAATATCACGAAAATAATGATTATATGATCTTGTGTGTTTCAGAATAAGGATAAGTATTTTTTGGATAGCGCTAATAAAATAAGTGTTTTTTTCGAGTCTGAAGCTCTGGAAGAAGACGGAAAATTGAAGGTTCATCCAAGAGTGTCGTTAAACAAAGTAAATTAGCTTAAAAAAGTTGTTCCTTCAGTTTAATCAATTCTCATAGACATACTTCAAACTATTTTCAATTATTTTACGGCTTTATAATTTTCAGGTAGGTCATGCTCTTCATTGGTTACACCCTACTTTCAAAAAATACACGTTCGATGAAAGAGTCAAAGAAATTGCTTTTCAATTAAACTATGAGGAGCCGATGGTGTGTCAATCAATGTACATTTACAAAAATCCTGGAATAGGCTCGGAAGGTAATTGAATAATTTTTTGATTATATACTTTTTAATTACATAAATATAACGCAAACCACGTGAATTTAGTTAACATAACACAAATATGTTACATGTCTAAAATAACTACAACGTTATTGGATGCAAAATTCTTATTTTCTTATAGTTACGATGCATCAGGACGCATCATATTTATATGTTGAGCCAATGAAACTCGTGGGTTTTTGGATTGCATTGGAAGATGCAACACTAGAGAACGGATGTCTATGGATCGCCCCAGGTTCACATCAGAGTGGAACACATAGGCGTTATATGAGAAATAAAGATTCAAATTCTCAAGAATTACTAATTTTCGACAGGCCAGCACCTTGTTATCCATTAAGTAATTTCAGACCAGTTCCAGTACGCAAAGGAACTTGTATTCTTATCCATGGTCAAGTGGTTCATTTTTCTTATCCAAACAAGAGTGAAACATCGAGACACGCTTACACTTTTCATGTGATTGAGACGAAACATGTATCGTATTCGAAGGAAAATTGGCTTCAACCTCCTGCTGAAGGTTTCGCGAGTCTTTATAAAAATTAAATATATTGTATTAACTGTGTTAAGAAATATCGTCCATTGTTTATTGCACAATCGTATTATTATACTTCACAATATTCGTCGTCTCATTCTTTCTGTATAAAAAATAACATTAATTTATGTGTTGTATATAATTCAGAAGAAAAATAAAATCAATTTTTCGTATATAGCCACAAAAAAAATACCAAAAGCATCAATGAAAAACATTACACACACATATATATATATATGTATGTATGTATGCATGTATATATGTATGTATGCATGTATGTATGTATGTATATACATAAAGTATTACATATGCAAACGATATATTTTCAGAAGATTTACTTATATATTAAATTTATTAATATATATACACATAGGTACAAAAAAACTTCCTCAAATAATACACTTCTCGTATATGCAATACAATCAACAAGAGAAATATAATTCTAAAATTTTTTTAAACCTAAAAGTAAAGTTGCAATAATTTTCATTGATACTATTGATATCACAGTCATCCTCATAAAAATTTTATTTTTATAGTAATTATAATATATAGTAATATTTCATTCAAATATAATTAAAAATAATAAATAATATAATTAAAAATAGTAAATTACAAAATACATACAACTACGTATGAGCAGCTAATGCACAAAAATGCGAAGTTAATTCTTGTAGCTGTCTTAAACCAGTCTTTAATACTTCTTCTTTTAACTTGACACAACAATATATATCCAAAGGTGTTACATCAAATGTTGTTCTATCTCTTGTGTCAGGCAAAAATGTATTTAAATCATACTGTAAGCTAAGCAATGTCTGATGTGCTATAGAATTTTCAGCTTGCGTCAGTAACCTGATTACAAAAAAAGATACATAAATATATTACATATAATATAATATAAAATAACATGACGCGAAATTAATTTTTATCAGTAAAAATAGATCGACACTATTAAAAAAATAACTTACTTATTTAGATTTTGTGTCAGATCAATTACTTTTCTAGTAATTTCTGATTGCAGACGTTGTACGCATGCTTGTGATACTGATGGATTTGCAGAATCGAAGGTAAAGGAATATGCCATTCCTGCATTGCTGCATGCCAAACCACTATCATGAAATAAAAATAAAATAATTATAAAAAAAAGAAATAACAATATTTTCAATATATATTGCATTAACATAATATGTAATTCAAATGTGATGATATGTAAATATTAGTAAATATTTTTTTTTTTTCATAATATGTACATATATATTATATGATACATGTGGCTCCGTGTGAATACGATTTACTTGTAATCAGTGAGTCACAGGTTCCAATCATCATTACCTATACTGTGTGTGTGTGCGTGCATGCGTGCGTGCGTGCGTGTGTAAGTGTGTGTGTATATATATATATATATATATATATGCACACACACACACACACACACACACACACACAAGTAGAGAGATTCTTACCATAAGTCACGCGCGAAAGTATAAATGTGCTGGAAACACTGAAATACTTTTTCTGCTCTCGTTTCTTGTTCTTGGGAATTTTCCGCGATGCCTATTTGGTCGTGTAATTTTTTCAAATCAATATTATCGAAATACTTTTTACATTTTTTCTTGAGTTCCTAAAAGTATGAATTTTTTTAACTCTGTCTCATAATAACAAAATATATTCACACACACAAATATATAAAAAATATTACGGTAATAGCATTAAACGTTTCTGTCAGGGGATCATAGTGCTTATCTGTGTTGACCATTTGTACTAAATCACTGCATTTTTCTATAATATATTCCATATCTCTCAATTTTCGACCACCAACTAAAATATCAAGATTAAATACTCAGTTTGCAAAATAGTTTTTTAGTAGATTATATGTGTATAAATATATACCTGGCATATGTTCAAAAGTATTGAGTAATTCCTTGAGAAGATGTTCAGCACGTCTTTGGAACGATTCGCTAATAGCAGCAATCCAGTGCTTTATAGCACACTTTAATGCAGTTACTGTAGTCCACGGTGGCTTTATAACGACATATACCTGCCACTCCGCTTCTCCATAAATTTCTGACATTTGTTTTGTAATAATCTGAAATAAAAATATTGATTTTATATATTTGATACATAGGCGTAAAAACTGGTTCATGATCCAATGTAAGATCCATACCGTTGACAAAAAGTTTCTCATAATTAATTTTATATCCTCGAAAATATCATCCGTCAAATGTGATTCTTCCATGAAAATAGACCTTTCATCAGGATCACCACTCAAACGGTTGACTACTGCATCCATATCAAGATCATCTATTTTTTCAAGTGGATCATGACGCCCCAATGCCAATATATTATATATCATCGCCTTAGTACAGAGATTTTTGTCATAAGATAATATGACCTACAAAATAAGAATAAACATAGCATTGTTATTCTTTTATGTATAAACATGTTAAATAGCATGAAGAAACAAAAAGATAACTTGCCACTGATTTTTGTAACTGAGAGATTTGTAAGCAACACTGAAGGATCTCATCATCTGGGCAATTGAGAGAAAAATCTTCTTTATTTTTCGCTGCCTGTTCTCGTGTTTGTCCTATGATACGTGGATGTTTAGAGGAAAACTGCTTGTGGATGAAAGATATGGCTTTCCTGGCTTTTATCGATAATTCGTTATTAACTCCATTACCCTTAAAGTAATCTAATTCCTGTTGTAAAAATTATTTAGAAAAAAAGTGTATGTTAAAATTTTTAAAAAGATGTGATAGAATTTTGACTATACTGTACATTATACTTACACATATCACAGTCCATGGAATTACAATAAAAGGACGTGGGTAATTCTTAAATACTGCATCTTTCGCTTCTTCAACAATTGCAAGGTTTGACAAAAATACATTTGTATCAATAACAATGTAAAGTGGACCTTTGCCGTGTGATTCTGTATTATTAGATTGCGTCAACTCTGCAGCATTTTCTGACACACAATTTGTTTCATCTATACGATTTTCTCTACAAAGTTGTGTTCTGACAACTTCTACCTATACTAAGAAAAAGTATGAAAGTATAAAATTTAATTTAAGAAAATATTTTTTTGTAGTAACTTTTATATAAAATAAAAATTGTTTTATATAAAATAAAAATAATTGAACAAGATATATAATTACACTGGCAAAATATATTCATATAAGTTATGATTTCTTAAAAAATATGTTTCAATTATATTGATCATACCTGAAGAGCAATTTCGTCATCTTTCATTGGTTCCCAATCCATTTCTTCATATAAAATTTCTTGCTCGCCCCGTTCTATTAATTTTTCCTTTGTTGTATTTTCAGTCTTATTTGATTTTTTTGTTTGATTATTTTGTTGAGTTTGTGAATTATCATCTTTTAATGTATTAATATTTCTTTCGCATATTGCATCTTTTAAGAGTCTGTTATGTAATCTCTTAAGTCGTATGTCAGCATTTTTATAAACATTTGATCTTAAACTGTCTGTAAACATAAAATAATATAAAAATACTAAAATATATAAAAACAAATATTTTCAATCTCTACTGATAAATACTAAAGCATAAAATATAAAAAATATATTTTATGTTATATACCTACTGGAATTAGATGAACTTCTGCTCAACTTTTGAGGAGACTTCTTGATAATTAAATCAATATTACACATTTCTTGAATTTTTTCCTTATCAACATTCAAATTTGTTCTTAGTCTTTGCATACGTTCTTGTGCCAAGTTTTTCTTTAAAAACCATTTTCCTCCTTTTTTTCCTAAACACAAAGTTAATTTTACTTCTTCATAATGATGACATAATAATTACATTTATATAATTGCATTTACTTGAATTTTGGTTACGTGATTTCTGAACAGTTTGATTCCTTTTACGCTGCTCAATATCATGTGCATTTCGAATCATAATTTCTTGATGTCTTATATTTTCATCTCTTTTGTCTAATGTTTTTGTTAACTTCTGATCTATGGTTTTCTGATTTTGTTTTTTAACCATAGCATCTTTTCTTAATGGTTTATTTAGACTAAATGTGTTTGAACTTCTCTGCTCGAATTTTCCACGAAGCGGTACTTGTGATATTCCTTCATTATCATTTTTAGCCCGAGAAGTCACTGATTTATCATCCTTTAACTTTGAAGGAAAGTTTCTTAGAGAGATATTTGTCTTATTTCCCACTATCTTTGTATATGAAGCTTGTGGCAACAAGGGAAAAGATTTATTTTTGATGTTTAATCTTTGCAACGCTTTCTCTCTAACAGCCTTCATTTGTGGAGTCTCGATAATTTTATCATATGCACCTTGATTAGACGTTTGCTTTTTCTTAGCATTATATTTAGATGCCATTGTACTGCAACGTTTTTCTTCTTGATGTTTAGTTATTGAAAAAGTCTGTAAAATAAAAGTTTTGCAGAATTAAAAGACTTTTTAAAAATGAAAATGAAGACATCTAAAAAAGAAATTTGATAATACCATTTCATAAGATACTGCACAATCTCAATTTGATGCTTAGATTACGTCATCCGATTAGGCCACTACTTATATAATAGATATTCTTGTTTAATTTATAAAATTAAACAAAGATACCAATTGTACAGATAGCAGCCTAAATATTATAGTGTAAACTAGGCAAGGGTTCATTCCAGAAAAATATCACATACAAAAATTCTATAGCATACATATTATAAAAATCATAGATTTTTGTATGCAATATAAATTCAAAAATAAACTTCCCAACACTGAGAGTTGAATTTTCGAGCACCAGCATAAAAAGGGATCTTAACCTATTCAATAGATTACAACAGGAAAATAAATTATGGAGAGAAAAATACCCTGATGTCATCCAATGGTGGTTGAATCCACGAAGATTGATTCGTTTTCACATTGAAATAATATATTCTGTCCGGATGACTTTTAGAGTTAACAATAATCCAATCCTTCGGTAATTTATGCTTTAACATGTTGAAAAAATGCGTATCAAAAAATTTAATGAGTCCGTACTAATCAATCATCCTTCAACGATCGGAAGAAATGAATAATCCTTACTTTCCTTCCTGCTCAGCGATGAACGACCCTTGGATGCTCTCAATCAAAACTGTGAAAAAACAAAAGTACGTTCAGGAATTCAAAGGTCGATAGTCATAAGGTCTGTTTTCTGTGGCTGAGCTAGTGTAACTTGTGGAATTTAAAGTGAGGTAGCTATATTTGTTTAAAGCGAGAAAGAAAGTTCTAGAACAGTCTAGTATAGAAACAGAAAACAGACCAATAAGATGCATCCAGAAGCATGATCTCTCACCGAGCGCTCAGTGAGCTCTTACACCTGTTTGGTCCATTTTTAGATCTAATGGAATATGCCAATCAAAGCAAGAGCTCACTGAACGTTCAAGAGTGGTCATGCTTCTGACAACAAGCATGAAAACAAGGTGAAAATTACAAGTGAGCAAGTGAGGTGTTGACCAATGAAATAATCAGTACTCTAGTAAACTCGTTCACTTTTATCATTTTCACCTTATTTCAAGATACAGAATCGATCTTCTGGATTAGAGAGCCTCACAGGAAGAGAGTGACAAATTGCATCACGTCAATGACACGTCCAATCAGGATGAAGGTCACGTGATCAGTTTTCTCTAATCTCTTCCTATGGAGCTTTGATACCATGCCCAATCAGAAAAGATCACGGTTCACGTGATGCAATTTGTCCGTAGGGATTCCGCATAATAAAAGGAACAGGGAACAGAGAATAAGAATTTCAACCTATCAGAAATTATGTATTGTGGAATACACAGTTTCTGATAGGTTGAAATTTTTGTTCTCTATTCTCTGTTTCTTTTATTGTGCGGAGCCCCTAAAGCCTATTCTACAATGTGCTCTTTGTTCCCTGTTTCTTGTTTTTTACCTTTTGCTTTTTTCTCGTTTGCAACCATTTTATTAACAATTGTATTTCTTATTTCTTTCGAATTTTGTTAATTTTTATCTCGGGCGATATAATAAAAAAACTAGATTTTGTTAATTTTTTAAAACTAGATTTTGTTAATTGAAACGAATTTTGTTAATTTTTATCTCGGGCGATATAATAAAAAAACTAGATAAGAAGCAAAAAGACAAGATGTACAAAAAATAACAAAAGGCAAGAAACAAAAAACAAAAAGCATATTGTAGAACAGGCTTAACAGCTAAATGCAAGGCATGGCTATTCTCAAGCTTCTCTCTGGTGGAACGCAGTCCAAGCCGCACTTTAGAAACTAGACTTTAAATTTCTACCTTCGTGTATATCAGTCTTCATTTTTTTCGTTCAATGAAAACGGTCATTAACTAATGGATTCACCTCGCAATTTCGCAGTGAGTGACGTGTGACGTGTTTTCTGTCATTTTGATACGTATGTACTAGGTTATTGAAAATACCGAAATTTATTTAGTGTCTGTCGTGTTGCTAAATCATGACGTCCATCAGCGAAGTTGATGCGGTGCCTAAATCGAAAAAACCATCGGGTGAGCATTTCAATTAAAGAGTCGGAAAACAAGCCAAATGATCTTGCTAACTTAACGATCGATGAGCTTTTTTGCTGATAAATCTTCAACGATATCATGCATTTTTCTCAATAATTGATGATACCGAATTAATTTTGTAGATTGTCGAGTACAATTTTACACATTTTCCGGAATTGTTCAAATAACATGTAAATTATTTTAAAATTTAATTATATAGTTATTTCTGCGCGAAAACTAAATAAAATTCGACTAATCTTTTGTATATTTTTGAAGCCAAGAAAGGGAACTAATTGCATAAAGATCGGGTATTAATCGGTATCATATCTAATATTTATACATAATCCTATACATATTATTTTATTTATAAATTGCTGATGGTTAAGGCAATAAACATTCATCAAATAAATCTAGGTGTCTTGTTATAAAAAGTAATTTTTGTGGTGATTGTGCTAAATTGTATAATTATGAAAGTAACATGAAAGATCTAACAGAGATAACGTAAGAATGAATCTGTAGAAGATCTTTGCTCTGAATAATCTTATTACCCTTATTAAGAAAAATTATCACTGTAATATATAATGTCAGTAAAAATAATCAAAGGAAGAAACAAAAAATTGATATATCACAAATGTTATTGATATTTTTTGAAATATTTATATTTGTAATACATGTTACCTAATTTGACTGTACGCAGATAGTGCATTTAAGCAACAGCGATTACCAGCCTGGCAACCAATACTTACAGCTGGTACAGTTCTACCAACGTTCTTTGTGATAGGAGTTGCATTTATACCAGTTGGCATAGGATTACTTTATTTTTCTGATGAAGTTAAGGAACATATTATAGATTATACTAACTGCAACTCCACCAATATTACCAGAGATGATGGATTGCCTAAGAAGTGTGCAGATGTAATTGCAGAATGTAATAATTGCTCATGCACATGTGAAATAAATTTCGAGCTAACTTCAGAATTTGCTGGCAAAGTTTATATGTATTATGGCCTGACAAACTTCTATCAAAATCATCGTAGATATGTAAAATCTCGAGATGACAATCAACTGTTAGGACAGTTGCATGAGAGTGTTTCGAGTGATTGTGAACCATTTGCCTATGATAAAATGAACGGCGAAGATACGGCCATTGCTCCATGTGGTGCCATTGCAAATTCGCTTTTTAGCGATGAGTTAACGCTATATTCTGCAAAACATAACGGGCAAGTACCATTATTAAGAACTGGCATAGCTTGGCCATCCGATAAAAATATCAAATTCAGGAATCCAGAGGGTGATCTAAAAGAAGTATTCAAGAATTTTGCCAAGCCTAAGAACTGGACTAAACACATTTGGGATTTGGATCCCACTAATGAAGAAAACAATGGTTTTCAAAACGAGGATTTAATTGTATGGATGAGAACTGCCGCATTACCCACTTTCAGAAAACTCTATCGTAGGATTGATCATTCTCAAGATGGCTTTAAGAGCGGTCTAGTTCAAGGAAACTACACTCTTAAAGTTGTTTATTGTAAGTAATGTAAACAAATTGAATTATAAAAATAATTAAAATAATGAAATAAAAAATACAGCTGCTTGGAAATTGTAAAATAAAGAATTGAAGATTAATTGTCTATCATATATATTTTATTTAAACGTGAGAGAAATTAGATAATGCTTTGTATATTTTTTTCAGCATTTTCAGTATCCTCCTTCTATGGAAAGAAAAAGATGATTTTAAGCACAACTTCACTTTTGGGAGGAAAGAATCCTTTCCTTGGCATTGCTTACATTGTTGTAGGGAGTTTGTGCTTATTGCTGGGCATAGGATTACTCATTATACATATTAAATGTTCCAAGAGGTAAATTAATATATTCGTATATTATATCCCTTTCACTTGTCCATCTACAATCTCTAAAAATAACATATAAGACATCTGATTTAATAACGTTCTTTATGTGGTGAAGGAACATCTACACAAATTACTGAACATGGTTATAAAAAAACTAACAATAAGATATACAATATATGTTAACATCTCTAATGCTCACAAATGTATTTAAATTTTGTGCAATATTAAACATGCACAATTTAACATCAATTTCAATCCAATATAATCACTTGTGATTTACATAATAAACAATCTCTCAAGTTAGATCAACACAGAGACACATATTTTATTTTTTTTTTTCGTAACATGAGTTGATAATATAATATTTGATATATGTTATACAGCAAACTAATGTAAAGACGACTACAAGAAATTATTCTTAGGGCACCCATGTATGTCTTGTAAGTGTTTGTGATATTGTGTTATGTCTATCCTTAATAATTGACATGTAAAAGTTGTCTTGATAAAATATGACCAATCGGGCAATATTTCTTGTTATAATTCCACACGAAATATCAAGAAATTTGTAAAATATTTTACTAATATTTTACTGAAAAAAGAAAATTAATAATTAGCTCGACTAGTCATATTTCGTGTATTGTATGCTTTGCCAGAATGTGTGTGCATTTTTTGCTATATTTTTCAGAAAAGAATAGGGTATTTGTTTTTAAAATGCTATTACATGTGCATTTTTTTTTATATTAAATGGCAGATAGGAATAATTTTAATTTATAAACAGCACTATATTGTTCAATTATTTATATAAAGTATGCAATATAATTATATAAATAATGAACAATAAAAGAACAAAATAATTCCATATAATTGTAGATGTTTAAAAGTAATGATACATATGTGAAACTGAGAAGTTGTAATGATTGTTTGGCCTAGTAATTTCGTTACATACTTGTTTTGTGTTTTCGCGTCTTAAATATATTTAGTCGTATGCACATTTTAAAATCGAATTTAGAGGTACATGCACTTGTTTGTGTTTTTGTGTATTGGCACAAAATTAAGCAAAAGATACTTTCAATATCCTCAAAAAATCAGCAAAATTATTACAAAAATTTCTTGTCAGTAGGACATGAATTAAATTTGATTCAAATTCAATATATATATATAATATTGTGTAAAACATAAAAAGCATGTCGCATGTTCTGAGAAAAAGCATTTATTTAAATTCTACAATGTATATTTCTAATTTACACGTGTCATTACATTTCGAAGCATTTTGATTTCCCCTGTGCTTTTATATTATTGTTGGGTTTTATTTTATTAGCAAACCGAAAAATCGCGTACAAATTTTCTTTTGCAATCATCACGTACAAATATCTTTTTTTTAGCACCGCCGATATGATCAATGTGACTCCAACTACAGAATATCATCATTAGGAACGATTCGTTTACTTGAAATGAACGTGATTTCATCAGTATATATAAGTTATTGATTATCACAGAACGAGTGAACTTTTTATATTTAACATTGAATTTCGTTTGTCAGTCATAAATACGGTAAACAACAAACTAATCAAAAATTTCTTATTTAAGAAATAATTATCTTTTAAAGTTTTTAATCATATTTTAATATCGTTATATATACATATAACATACATAATAGAATTTTCAAAACTGAATCATATATTCTTGAAATTATATTTTACTTGGAATTCTACTGTAAATTTTAAATAGAATAATTATTTGAAACTTTGTCAAACGAGTACCCAATTGCTGTTAAAATATTTAATTTAGTTATAAATATATTCTATTATAGAATATTGTATCAGCAAAGTGAACAAAAGTATTATGTAAATGATTATACAT